CTATACTTACTAGAAAACCAATAGCTAGTGGTATTTGTATGACCAAAAATTTTGCACACACACTCTCTTAATCTCACTAATCAATCAAAAAAAGAAAAAATAAAACTAATTTGCACCCTATATATCGTCAAAATGAGTCCTCTTCAGTAATAAATCTAGACCGTGCATTTGATGTATTTCAAGATCTAGCCTTTTGTGAATTTAATTTGTTTTTAATATTGTTAATCTAATAATATAATTATCCAATAAATTTGGAAAGAAAAAAGATCATTCTATGGTCTAGATCTAAGCATCTCACCAAAATGAATGGCCTATGTTAATTGGGCTAAAGAAATAACTTTTAGGTTGCATTTTCAAATTTTCTTGTTTTGTGATTGTTCATTAAAATGAAAAGAGTGTATATTTGAAAATTTGGATCAAACAAATGGCTCTAATATAGTTTTTAAAGGTTGTTGCATCATATTTTTATACAGCCATTGCATGAAATTTATATATATGGTTGCTTGATCAAATTTTAAATTATACACTTCTTTTATTCTAAAGAACAATTAAAAAAGGGAAAATTTGAAACCGCAACATAAAAAATATTTTTTTAGCCCAATTAACATAGGCCTTCCAATTTGACAAGATGCTTAGATCTTGACCTTAGAAGGATTTTTCCTTTTCCATATATTTTTTTAGATATCTTTATTATCAGTAGATGAACAATGTTGAAAAAGTAAAAAATGATTTTGACTTTTTAAAGGCTAAGATCTTGAAATTCACCAAATAAATGCTAGATTCGTTGTTGGAGGAGGCTCATTTTGACCAAATCTAGGATTCCAAATGAACTTTGTTAATTTTTTTAATTGATTATTGAGATGAAGAGATTGTATGTACAAAATTTTGGGTCAGACAAATACCACAAACATAATTTTCTAGAAGTGTGGTTGCACTATAATATTGTACAATTGTTGCAATAGATCAATGCCATATATATATATATATATATATATATATATAGTAG